CTAGTTTCAATTAACTCAGGGGCCAATGAACTTGTGGCTTTTAGGAGCTGCTGGTTGCTCTTTGGTCTTAGTAAGAACAATTCAAATGAGTTTCCAACCAACTAAGTGCTTTTCAAAAGCAACTTCTTTAGGCTTACTGTGCATTTATATAAGGTTTTATGTTATGTGATGTTATGTAGTTTTTAGTTTTTTAAGTTAATATATCCTTATAAAATTGATTAGAATTTTCCTCTCAAGCAACCCTGGGATTATAATATTAAATCACATCATTATTTTGAATTCGGATTCGAATTTATATGAAATTTGTTCTACTTTTATTTTTAGAGATATAAAATATACACCTCATTGTTTGACTTTTTTGTCTTAGAAGTGAACTTGTGCAGTGTATTTGAAAAAACATTCATTTCGTTAAAAATTCATATATGTACCAAGTATATGCACAAGTGTTTTTCTGTTTAACTAAGAGATGGCGTTAGCGAAAAGTATACAGCGTGCCAAAAAATAATATATGTAGAGTCCATCAGAAACTAGCGGCGTTATTTAATCGTTCAGTGATTATGTGAAATTCTGTGCCTGAAAAAAAACATTTACGGCACGCATTGCTTTTCTTATTTAATCTAAGAAAAACGGCAGTAGAAACAAATGGTGCACATGCTCAATAGATTAAAACATATGATACAGGGTTCCGACAATTTAAAAGAATTAATTTTTATATGGAAGACAGTGACCACTCTGGTGGACCACATAAATGCAAAGAAGAGCCGACAATCACTTGAGAAATGCTGCTTCAACGCCACCACAGAAAATCACGAATAGTGACCAGTTACGAAAAATGAATTTATTTTAAAATCCTAAAGGCAAAAAGTTGTGGGTTTCATATGACGAAGATGATCTTTCAAAACCAAAACCGAATCATCTAGTGTCTAGTGGAATCAAAGCATTTCATTTATTGCGCAGCAGTATCACCGACAAATGATTGATTTAAATTACGCATTGATCGAAAGATGACCGGAATAGTTTAGAAGATATGGCAAAATAATTTTGTTATACGACTTATAGAGCAAAATCAGTGAAAGATATCTTGTAAACACTTGGATGGAATATTCCGTGGTATCCGAACACACCAGTCTTAAACCCATCTCACTATCACCTCTTCGTATCAATGAGACACGTGCTCTTCAACAATGTCGAGAAAATTGGAAAATAACTTGACAAATGATTTCGGGTATGATATTCATGAATTAACTGAAAGATCGGCAAAATATTTAGAATCCGATGGCGAATATTTTCAATTAAAAAAAATTTACTTGAGTGCTTTGGTTAGTGTCACTTAAAAATAAAGTAGTGACAAAAAACTTGAAACTTAAGCATTAAAGGTTTTTGCAACCTTGATTACTATTGGAAAAACACGATTAGTCATCGCTTCACGAGTTCTAACCCTGAGTTGGACCCTGAGTCCAAACAAATTAAATACGAACTATACAAACTATAAACTAATCAAAAGAAAATAGGAATATTTCCTGATGATGAGTACTTGGCAATACTCGAAACAGCGTTGTACGGTCAGTCTAATTTCAATTAATTAAATAAATTTTTGTGTTTGTCTTTTCTTTGCTATTCGAATCGTAATTAACTTTAAAAACTAAGCCAATTTCCACCAATATTTTGACTATATTCTATAATCTTCTTAAGGATACAATATAATATGTTTATATTTTATTTTTAATAGAAGCTTCGAATAGTTGTGAATTGTAACAATAAAAATTATTTTTATTTACTTTTTCTTTTTAATTAAAGTTCTGACCATGCAACTATTTCGAGTATCACCAAATATCCATCATCAGTGATCTTGGAATTATTTCTTATATTTAATAATTCGCAAATAATTCTTTGACGCAGCAAATACCAAGCGTTGAACTCGTGCCCTGTCAAATTTGAGGCTCAGAGTCAGCATTCCTCAACCAACTGACTTAAAGCCATAATTGACTTGTCTGTTCGCACTTTTTTCTAGAATTTTGTTAATTTGCTGTGAAAGTTTATTAGCAAAATCAGTTGCTGGTTATATTAGAATGAAATCATAAAGCAGCTGTAGAATAATTGATTTAATTACTATTAGTTATTTTTAATTGGTAAATTTTAATACTAATCTTTTATAGACGCATTATTTATTGCATAATTTTATTACTCTTTATAATGTATAGAATCTTATCTACGAGCGTAATACAGAAGAAATCATTATTTCTTATTATTTTTATCGGCAATTATCTTCTTTAACTTAATATATGTTTTATATATATATTTAATTAATAAAAGTAGATTAATAATAATAATAATTATAATAAGATTTGTTACATTGTTAGAAAATATATATAAAATGAATCGAGTATTGGATATCTCAACGAGTATACATTGGTGTAAGAAGCTTACAGGTGTTCATATTTTCTAGAAAAGTACACTTAATTTTTTCGTAGACTAAATTCATAAATATATACTTTGATGAACTATTTGAAGTAACTCAACTCAATGAATCAATATGAAATCAAAGAAACTAACATTTTATTAGTAAAGTAAACAAAATTCAAAAAAATATTTACTATTTTGCTAACAAAATTTTTTCATTCAAGTAACATAATTTTAGCTTTCCCATTTCCATGAAGGAGTAACGTCTTTCTGATGACGGCATATATTCCATAGTGTACTTAACATATCAATGTGTGTTACATCTGTGTTGAAACACCTCTGTTCGGCCTAATCTCATTGCATCGATGTTTCTTACATCTGCTCGACTTATGCCTGCATCTGATGCAAATTGGTAAACAACAAAGTTTACGTTTTAAATTTTATCTCATAGGCACGCAGTGCAAAAAGCTTTTGCCATTTTCTCGTTCGAAATTTTTCCCAATTTCATGCATTTCTCATGCGTTTACATCAAAGTAAAAGCCAATTCTGATGAATGTGTAGATAGGAACTTTAACTAACAGAACGCATCCTGGCAGTTTGCCTTTGTGCCTTTATGTTCCTGGCTTGTGTGTGATTAGGTTTTTAGTGCATATTTGCTTTAACCACACCTATTTGGTAATATTGATTCAAATTTCTTTTTATTCAAAGCTAAACTTGTGTCAGACATGCATCTTTGGTTGATTACAATTTAGAAGTTATATAGAGATATTTTCTTTAATACTTTCGCATTAATACTTCGAATTCATCATTTCTGCATTACACAAAATTGATTAATTTTACAAATGCCAAAACATAGTTGTCTCTACTATTGAATTTGCTTGTAAATGTTAATCTCGAATGAATTACAATTTCCAACTTTTGTATAAAAGGTATTGCTTTGATACTTCATATGACATATTCCAATTTAGGTAATGAAAATAACACCAAAGCACTGGAGAGACCTAGAATAAATTTGTTATCCCCCAAAACACTTAAGTTGAAAAGAGTCTCTCTACAATGCAGCCCTACATTTCTTTTGAAATATTTTTGACTTGGAGTGGAAGTACCAAAACCCTTGTTGCTCCTATTTCTCATAATAACATAATTGTAGCATTGCTTAAGTTCCTAAACTTGCAACCAAACCATTTTTGAAGTATTTTATTATGGGTGAAGTGAAATAGAGAAAAAAAGACAATATGTAGTGCAAGCAATCATCTTTAAAAGCCGATGATCGTACATAAATGGCTTCAAAGCCATAAATGAGGCAAACAAGGTTATGTTAAGTGTTTGTTAGGATCAGAATAGAATTGAGCATTATGAGTTGACCCAAACTAGTGCAACGCTTGATTCGGTCCCCTACTGTTCACAACTAGATATATTGCACAAAGAAAAACGAATCAATGAACACAATTGGCGAACAGAAGATGAGTTGTACTCTATCATAGCAGACCACACATATCTGTAATGACTCGGAGCAAGTTACCAAAACTAATTTGGAAAGTTTTAACACTTTCACCGTTTAGCTCGTATCTCGTGCATCATCCGACTACCAATCGTTATAGTCTGTGTAAAACTCGCTTAATAGTAAAAAATTGCCCGATCAAAGAGCCACTGAAAATTACTTAGCCAAATTTTTCATTGATCAACTACAGAAGTTTTAAGGGCACAATAGACCCGACGGTTGCAGTACCACATCCGCTAACAATAATAATATGTACAGAAGGTTTACATCAATAGAATTATGAAGACACCCAAATGACAAAAGCTCAGAAATAATAGTGACTAATACGAATTTTATTAAAACTAATTTTCTATAAAGAAAATCTTTGTTGAAAATGTAACAAAGAATTGCGTACATTTTTTTTATCACCCAATATATGATGTTTAACGATATATATTGTATATCCATCAAAAAGATAATGCCACATAATGTTAATTAATTCTATTATTTCAATTTAAAGTAACTGTTTAGAAGGTTTTCTATCAAAACATGGCCACATAGATTAACCAACCGATTACTGACTATCTGAACGAGTTTATCTTCGCATGAACTACAGTTCATAGCTGCTTTTTTTAAAAATGTGTACATTAATTGTTTTCAATTTCTCTCTAACCTGAGATCAACAAACAACTCAGTGAGATATGTACAACTCTCTCATCAAGCTCAGAAAAATGAGTACAATGAGTATATATCCCAATTAGTCTGTTTGGCTGATGAAACACACCATATGATTTGACTTTTTTTTTTAAATGGGTCAGAAGAAATTGCCTAATACCAAGCCATAGAATGGTTCTGGAGCTATATGCAGCGAGGATGTTCTTTTCTTAGCAAATTTGTAAGGAATTCTGTTGCTGAAAATTTCAGCGTATCCAGGAACCTATAAATGACTAGTTACATATGTTATGTATGTAGACTTTCTCACTATTGATTTTCCGTTGATTATTTATTTATTAATGGTGCTGTAACATCAAAACCGATTTCTTATAACTATTTTTATGCACTTGTCACAATAATTAAATAAGAATCTTTCATTCATTTTGCATATAAACATAGATCTTTATTAAAATTTTTTTTCATCAAATATCCATTTCAGAGTTTTATGATAAGATAATAAAAATCACGGATTTATTTACGGCATTGTCTTGCCTTCTGTCCAAGTTTCATGCCACGACATCTTTCACGTCTTGTAATCATAATTTCTAAAATTTAAAATTAATCATTAAATTAATTCCGAAAATACTGTAAATTGTATAGTTTCTTATAGACTTACGGTTCCAAGAGTCTCTCAAGCAATTAGCGCGTCTGGCTTGGCAATTGGACATCAGGCGACAATTGTTGGCTTTGCTGCGATAACAGGACACAATCTTTTTCGCTGGACAACGCAATTTGTTGCAACGTTCTTCTTTAGTACTTCTCTTGCCTCTTCCAGCACAAAGTCCACTTCCATCTTTTTGAATGTTGCGACATCTGCTCTGGCTTGTTTTCTTGAGTGCTAAAATTTTAAACAATCGATGGATTAATGAGTAATTAAGTAATAAGTGACATAAGTCCTCAGTTTCTACTTACGTGGTTGACCAATAGACTTAAGTCTGCAGTTCTCCTCGCGGAATCTACATTCCCGTAATCTGCGGCAACTATTCACAGTACCCCTCTCTCTTATACAAACCGATGGGCTTGGTCTATTGGGTTGACATTGGCGTTTACACCGAGCATCGGCTGTAGCAACCACAACAAGGATTAAAGCTGCGGAAGGATGAAAATTTTTTAGCAGTTATTTTTGTTTCAGTTTTTACTTGTAATTTAAACTCTTACCGAATGCTAAAATATATTTATTCATTTTTTAGTTTTAATTCACTTTTTACTTTACAACACCGCAATTGACAGTTGATTGTGATGATGATATCCATATTTTGCGAGGTATTTATACCTCTTTTTCGATTTTCATCATGACTTCTCCTTGTTTCGAGAACAATCAATTACTAAGGATAATTGTATTGCATTGTGAAAAGAGAATTGTGACATTTCTTTTGATGCCGGAACAATCAAAATCCCCACGCGTGACTTAAAAACCTACAGTTACGATTTTTGGTTGTAATAAAGTTTAAAACATATGAAAAATTATTCAACAATAATTAGGTTTTAAATTAAACAAAATTTTTAAATGATTAAGTAAACAAAATTTCACTTAATTTTCTGTTCTGTTGATATTTTAATGACACAATTACACGCGTTTATTTAAAGCGTAAATATTTATTTAATCAACATTTTTTGTTTAATTTTGCTGAAATAATATGTTTACAGGGGAGACAAGAGAAAATGATTAAATATTATTCCTACAGAAGTAGTATCCAAATTCTTGATTTTTTTGATGTTCTCCTATTTAATTACTTCTTATATCGTTAGTAGAACTGTTGCTCTGTTTAGAAATAGATGTACCCTGATTACGACTTTGCTATGGCATGACATTACCTCGATATCTCCCAAAATTGACGAGATAATCCAGTTTATCTCTCTAGTTACCAGAGTTAGTTAGTTTGTAAATTGTAGGTTTGTAATAGTCTGCTATTTGATTATTTCTTCTTCAAGAACATTAGCTGTACTTAAATACGTGGTTGATAGATTCGTTGTTCTATTTGGAACTACGTCTGCACCTTTACCATTAGTTGCCAATGGAATGCTATTGCCTCACTCTCTCTACAAATGTATGAGATGATACTGATTTTCTCTCTCTCTCTTTCTCTCTCTCCCTTTCTCTCTCTCTAGTTAGCAGAAGAAATTTTGCCTTAGTTCACGCTTGCCACTTATGGTACTTTAGTACCAAAATTGGTACTTTTTTTTCGTTTGGTACTCATGTTCAAAAAATGGTACATTTTTGACGACCCAACTTTATTGTGGATATTTCCAATTCATTTTTTTATAAATCTAACTTTGCACTATTTTATATTTTGTTCATTTATAACACTATGAAAAACACAGAACGAAAAAACAAAAAGGTCCAAAAACATTTTGGACCTTTTTTACAGAAATGGTACATTTTTAAACCAATTTTTGGTATAGAAAAAAATTTTCAAGTGGCAACCGTGCCTTTGTTGAGAATTTAAGATTATGATGGTGTTCTATTTGATTATTTCTTCTTAAGGAACTTAGTTCCTATTCAAATGGATCGTTAATTGAACCGCTACCTTATTAAGGAAAACTTGTACCTTGATCACGAATTGCTCTCTTTGCTAAGCAGAAGAATTATGTCTTTGTTGTGAATTTTAATAATACGGTAGTCTTTTACTTGACTTTTTCTTCTAGGATGTTGCAATTCGTGCCCATATTCAAAAGTATCCTTTGTTCGGGAGATCATGCTTAAAGTACAAATTTAAATACGTACTTTAAATAATAAAAAATTATGAATAGATCCTACCAAATGATTGGATGTTTGTGTCTAAATACTTGACATTAGTAAAATCAAGTGATTGTCATTGGTTTCTATTAAAACCCTGAAAATGAGTTTTACAAAAATACCGAGCAATCAAATGTGGGGTAACTAAAACAATTTGAAAGCCAGAAATTTGAACCACAAGGCGAATTAAGCATTGGCCATATTCTATTCCATTAGAGAATTCACATTTTGGTTTCTTGAAATTTATTTTAGAATTTTTTATGAACAAAAAAAAACTGTAACAGATATTTGATTGCTTTTCTGTTGGGGAAGCAGTTCCACATTAAAAGAAGAAAAATTACACTTCTTATTGCGTATCATTTAGCAATTTCGGAATCAGCAAAAATGTCTCAATCCATTAGTGTCAAAATTATGGTCCATTTTGAAAATTGCAGCATAGTCAAAAAATACCAGACCAACAATGGAAGCACAGCTCTGGCTGGCAACAATGCAAACAAAAAATTAAAAAGCATTCCAAGTCGAAAGTGCAATTTAAGGAAGAAGCACAGCACATGAAATTGCATTTGCCTTAATGCACATTTGTTGATGGTCCGTGTATGTGGCAGCGTAGAAATGAAAATATACGTCTTTGTAATGTACGAGCAAGGAGGTCTTCTGAAGGATGCAATAAAAATTTTACACCCAAAATGAAATTTTGCTCAATTTGAATAGAACAGCAATTGTTGTTGGTAGCGGTGTTAGCATTGGCACCTTTGGCAAATGACAAGATTTTCCGTCAATTATTCGCATAAATACAGCAACAGCAACGCAATTGAAGCAACAAATTGTACGTTGGTACACAGCTACATATCCTTAGATGAAACTTTAGTTTGTATATGCAAAAAGATAGTTTTATATTGCCAAAGCCTTGGTCGTATGTTACTGAAGCGACTATTAAAGTCTTTTGAAATTGCTATCGTTGTCAATCTCGATTTATTCGAAATGTTTTTTACTTAACATGATTGTCATTTTCTAAATTATTTTAACAAAATGTCTCCAACACACGTAGACGATACAGAGTTCTTTGAAAGTTTGCTGAATACACAACACTCCTTCATCCGTTCAGAGAAGGGTTGGGCGAAATCATATGTTAAATGTTGGCGTCATAATCTACAGTGTCTATCAATGCTACAATAAGAGTAAAGTAAAATATCCTTTAATACAAAATTGCAGTGTCATTTGCGAGTTAATTCAAAATAAAAATTGAAATATTGTAATTTATTTTGAAATTCTCTTTGTGTGTATTATATTATTTTATCAAATTTTAATACTCGTATATATGCACAAGTCCTTACAACAAAGTGAATGCAGGTCACGAATAAAAAATTTAATGAGTTTTAAAATATTTAAAATCACATTTTTTATGTAACTTACCACTATTCCTAAATCTCATCAATTTTAGTTGACATTTTACTTAATCGATTACTTAATTGAAAACACATTTGAATATAATATAACAATGGTACAAAAATACAGTATTGAAATAATCTTTCAATCTATATTAGAGTATTCTTTCATGTGAACACCACTAATATTTTTCAAAAATATCGCAATGCTTTTTCCGAAATTGTTTCAATCAATAAAATTATCTTTAAGTTTTAGTAGATGAGGTGATATCACTATTTTCTGATCGAATTTGGAAAAACTGTTGATTTATATGTTTTTCATTTGTTATTTTACGCAGACAAAGTATTATAGGTTGTTTATCATCTTATAAAACTGGGAACTTACTCTAATGAATTCTACGAGAAAGTGTAGATTTTGTAGGAAAGTGATCCAGACCCTAAAATATACCTTATTCATAAGCTGATACATTTGCGAAAGAAATATCTTAATATTTATATTACATCAAATAACAGAAGACAAAATAAGACTCAATCAAGTAATCAAGTTTCAATATTACAATTTATCGCCGTTGTTAAACTCAAAAAATACATTGTATCTATAAAGAAGACACAATAAATCTCTAGGTTTCATTGAAAATCCATCATCCTTATAATATGGACTAATTTATACCAATGTTAGCCTTCTAGAATAAATAACACTCTAAATAAAAAGACTCCAAAAAGCCCACACAAATGCATACATATTTATTCCTAATAGCCCATAATTAATTTTTAAGGAATAATTTTGGTACTTTAATTTTTGATGCTTGCTATACTTGATGAATTCTGAGGATTGAAAATTTATATACATTAACTCTGTTCGTGGCTGTATATGCATGTAGAAAACCAAAGCAAACATTTTCAAAAATAATTCAACATTGATTTTAATATTTACAAATTACATAGAAATTTCTTACTTTCGCTATTCACTTTTCTATTCTGGCATTAAGAATGAAATGCATGTACAAATTTAAAATAGACAATGTAAAAGAGTCGCAGAAGAAAAATATTGTGTACGTATTGTTTTCATCTCCTTTTCAACACCATCAAATCATGAGTAAAATTGCAATCTACAAAGTGAAGTAAACTGTGCGAAAACTATTATAAAAACTAATTTTAATTCTCAATTTCACTCAAGTGTGGCTTGGGCCAATAGATATAAATTCTGGCGTTTATTACTTACTCAACGATCAATTATTAAAATTAGACGAATAAAATCGAATAATATTTTCTTGAATATAGTTTTTGACATGAATTTTCTTTCAAATGTCCAAATTTAGGTCGAAACATGCTCTATAACATGTACTATGATATGTAAAAAATTGAGAAATTTGAGATACAAAATACTTGTTCTATGTTACTGCACCAACCCAACTTCCATACAAAATTTTTACTATGTTTAAAAAATTGTGCCTCTTTTATTAAACTATGTGCCTTTATTACACATATATATATACAACTTCAAGCCAAAAACAGGAGTAATCCGTTAATTACTGTTTTTTTATTTAAATTATATGAAAATTTTTCCAAATCTAGTCCTTTTCAGAACTAAAAATAATGAATGAAATTCAACCAAAATTGAGTTCTTGAAAAAATTGGGCCAACTTTGTATTGTATGTGCAGCTAATTGATTCCAATTCAATATATTTAGATCTAAATGTTCTTACATTAATGTGAAATTTAATTAAATTTTTTTCATCTTTACCTTAAACTTGAAAGCTTTATAATAAAATTATTAATATTACAATGAATTTGGAACCGAAAACCCAAAACTTAATTGATGTTTCCCATTGAAGCAAGATATTGTAAAGTTTGTTTAAAATCAAGGCAAATGGCAGAGTAGAGACACAAAATATTAAACCACATTATCATATCTAATATCTCAAATAGTCCAGGTTTTGATCTATTGTACAAGATGCAAGCCATCTCAATATGTTCACAATTATTTGCAAGAACATTTAAGCCAAATGATGTGAGCTCAGCCGGCAGCAACCGAACGAATTGTTTGTAGTTAACGTTTATTATGTACAACACCTTCACCTGGTGTACATTACAAGCAAGGATTTATTCGAGCCATTAA